AAAATGGCATTTCTAGAAAATCGCCTGAAATCTGTGATAGTACCCCTTTGGAATCTCGAAAAAATTCACTCGGAATGAATCCCCCCAAATCGGTGCTTAATGGACTCAATCATCGCTGAAGAATAGCCTCAGACCGAATCCATAATCTGTAGCCTTCAATATCCAAAGAAAATGGCCTTTCGTCGCGCAAAAAATTGCGAAAATGCCATCCGAAAATAAATTGGCTCAAATCGGTGCTTAATGGACTTATCATCCGTGGAGAATAGGATCAATAGACTTCATTATCGGTGGAGAATATCCTCGGTCTGATTCCATGATCTGTAGCCTCCAGAATCGAAAGAAAATGGCATTTCTATAAAATCGCCTGAAATCTGTGATAATACCCCTTTGGAATCTCGAAAAAATTGACTCGGAATAAATCCCCCCAAATTGGTACTTAATGGACTCAATCATCACTGAAGAATAGCTTCGGGCAGAATCCTTGATCTGTAGTATTCAATATCCAAAGAAATTGGCCTTTCGTCGCCCAAAAAATTACAAAAATCCATCCGAAAATAAACTGGCTCAAATAGGTGCTTAATGGACTTATCATCCATGGAGAATAGGATCAATGACTTCATTATCGGTGGAGAATAGCCTCGGTCTGATTCCGTGATCTGTAGCCTCAGAATTGAAAGAAAATGACATTTGGGAAAAATCGGCCGAAATCTTTGATGGTACCCCCTTTGGAATCTGCCAAAAATTGACCCGAAATAAATCCCCCCAAATTGGTGATTAATGGACTCAATCATCGCTGAAGAATAGCCTCAGGCCGAATACGTAATCTGTAGCCTTCAATATCCAAAGAAAATGGACTTTCGTCGCCCAAAAAATTACGATTATGGAATCCAAAAATAAATTGGCACAAATCGGTGCTTACGGGACTTATCATCCGTGGAGAATAGGATCAATAGTCTTTATCGGTGGAGAATAGCCTCGGCCTGATTTTGTGATCTGTAGCATCCAGAATCGAAAGAAAATCGCATTTCGGAAAAATCGCCCGAAATCTGTGATGGTACCCATTTTAAATCTGTCGAAAATTAACCCGGAATAAATCCGCCCAAATCGGTGCTTAAATGATTCAATCATCGTTGAAGAATAGCCTCAGGCCGAATCTGTGATCTGTAGCCTTCAATATACAAAGAAAATGGCATTTCGTCGCCCAAAAAATTACGAAAATGCCATCCGAAAATACCATAACAGATTTCGACCGATTTTTCCGAAATGACATTTTCTTTCGATTCTTGAGGCTACATATCAAGGAATCAGGCCGAGACTATTCCCCACCAATAATGAAGTCTATTAATCCTATTCTCCAAGGAGGATAAGTACATTAAGCACCAATTTGGGCAAATTTATTTTCGGATTGCATTTGTGTAATTTTTTGGGCGACAAAAGGCCATTTTCTTTGTATTTTGAAGCCTACAGATCGCGGATTCGGCCTGATGTTATTCTTAAACGATGATTAAGTCAATAAAGCACCGATTTGGGGGGATTTATTCTGGGTCTATTTTTGGCAGATTCCATAGGGTACTATCACAGATTTCGACTGATTTTTCCGAAATGCAATTTTCTTTCGATTCTGGATGCGACAAATCACGGAATTAAGTCGAGGCTATTCCCTACCGATAATGAAGTCTATTGATCCTATTCTGCACAGATTATAAGTCCATTAAGCACCTATTTGACCCAATTTATTTTTGGATGGCATTTTCGTAATTTGTTGGGTGATGAAAGGCCATTTTCTTTGGATTTTGAAGGCTACAGATCGCGGATTCGGCCTGAGGCTATTCTTCAACGATGATTAAGTTCATTAACCACCAATTTGGGCGGATTTATTCCTGGTCATTTTTTGGCAGATTCCAAAGGTGTGCCATCACAGATTTCGGGCGATTTTTCCGGAATGCCATTTTCTTTCGATTCTGGAGGCTACAGATATCAGAATCAGGTTGAGGCTATTCTCCACCGATAATGAAGTCTATTGATCCTATTCTCCACCGATAATGAAGTCTATTGATCCTATTCTCCATGGATCATAAGTCCATTAAGCACCGATTTGGGCCAATTTAATTTTAGATGGAATTTTCGTAATATTTTTGGCGACGAAATGCCATCTTCTTTGGATTTTGAAGGCTACTGATCGCGGATTCAGCTGAGGCTATTCTTCAACGATGATTAAGTCCATTAAGCATCAATTTGGGTGGATTTATTCCAGGTCAATATTTAGCATATTCCAAATGGGTACCATCACAGATTTCGGGCGATTTTTACGAAATGCCATTTTCTTTCGATTTTGGAGGATACATATCACAGAATCAGGCCGAGGCTATTCCCCACCGATAATGAAGTCTATTGATCCTATTCTTCTCGGATGATAAGTCGACTAAGCACCCATTTGGGCCAATTTATTTTCGGATGGCATTTTTGTAATTTTTGGGCGACGAAAGGCCATTTTCTTTGGATTTTGAAGGCTACAGATCGCCGATTCGGCCGATTTTCTAAAAAATCTTATTATGCGAATTGAGAGAGAGAGAGAGAGAGCTGTTAATGACGTGATCGTCTCCGCCGCCGCCTTTGAGGCTGGTAGTGGTCACCATCTGGAAGTGAGCGACGCTGGGGCCGGTCTTGTTCACCTCTTCCTCTGAAATCTTAGGGTTTGTGAGGGAGGGAATATAAGGGAGAATATCCGGCCGGTGAGTAATCGGAAGGTGGGGGGAGAAATCGAAAGGTGGGGGGAGAATATCCGGCCGGTGAGTAATCGGAAGGTGGGGGGAGAAATCGAAGGAGGGATCAGAATCGCGGTGGCGTATATGGAGGAGGCCATTTATTAAGTTTTATTTTTATTTTTTAATAGTTGTAAAATGAGGTGAAATTGTAAATATTTAAATTTAACTATTTTAATATTTTTTTAAATGGCCACGTCACTCATTTAACGGTCAACTATAATAGTTGACTGCCACATCAGCAAAAATTAACAGAGACTAACGGAGAGTGACCAAACTTGAACTTTTAAACTAATCTTAGTGACCATGAATGGAATTAAATATTTGCAATGACCAAACATGAACGATTTTAGTAAACCCAGTGACCAACCTTGCAACTAACCCCAAATCTTCCATTATTTTGGTGGACAAGTCTTCTATCAACTAGCTTTGTACCCGGCCGCTTTCATTTAATTCGTTCAAATCATTTTGGTTATATGAATTTGAGATATAGTTGTTAGGGGTGTTCAAATGGTTACCATGGTTATTACCAAACCAAATAAGGCTAAATTTCATTAACCATGGAATACAATATCATAACCAAACCATCCAAACTAATACAACAACCAAATTAACCAAACTAAAGTTTAATCGGTTTGGTTAACCAGATTAACCAATATAAAATCACATTATCATTAAATGAGAAAATTTTTTATTAATTTATCAATTTACAATTTATATAATGAATAAAACATAACAATCAACACTTGGTTATAGTTGACCTTTAACATAAATACATGCAACTAAGACAATTATCTTACAGTTAGTATAGAAGTATTCACTTAGCAAAAATTTATCACAATGGTATAGGTTAATGAATTGTTGTGTTTGTTTGAATTGACTTAGCCTTTTAGCAATTTTCATCCAAATATAATGTATGAGATTTCATCTAACATAATGTATGAGATTTATCTAAATTAGGGCCTTACTTTCAAGTTTTCATCCAACATAATTTATGAGATTTATCTAAATTAGGCGTTCATATGTTGTGGTCTACAATCTACATATACAAATATACATTATAGGAACAATATCAAGTTATATATTTTATGAGTCTAAAAGGGATGAACGTTTAACTCTTGAGTGGTTATTTAAAGTATTAAGTATGTGTATATATTAGATATATGGCTAATTATTTATCTGGTTAATTTGGTTTGACTGGTTAGGAGTGTCTGAAACCAAACCAAACAAGCTAAAAACTTTAACCAAACCATACCAATTATCCAAATTAACCAAACCAAATTATCCAAATAATACTGGTTAAAACGGTTACCATAATAACCACAACGTTTGAACACCCCTAATAGTTCTAACACATTCTTCAAAAATTAATTTTTTCAAACATGCACTCAATACTCAATCATACATTTTGTGTTTTAAACATCATAACTTCATATTTCAATGCCAATATAATCAACTACTTATTTTGGAATATTGATTATCGACTAAGTCGTACATAGACATATGTTAAAAATTCTCATTATCTATCATGATTAGTTATGTTTATTCAATTATCTAATATTGTAAAGCAGTTGCAATCATATTTTATGAAGTCTCTGCGTAGGTATTATGTAAACATTTTATCCAACAAAATATTGAAATGACTACCATATACAATAATTGTTTTCTATATTTGGATTGACACCAATCAGCAAACTCAAATTAATTATCTTATATAATATATAATGAACATAGTGGATTTCATGAGCATATAAACACAGTGCCGCTTGAATAATAACTTGTACAATGTAAAAATATAATTTAAAAGTTTAATTCTTATAATAACTTAGACATTTGTCGTTCATTTGGAATCTATGATATACATTCTAGTTACCTTTACTAATTATCTAACTCATTCTAAAATAAAGAAAAAAGCGACACGTTCCATTTAGATAGGACAATTAACGAAATAATTTTTCATATGAAATCTTTATGCTTGCTAAAAAATCGGATTAAGAGTTAATCGACAAAAAAAAAACTGCGGCCAAAACCAACCATAAAAAGAAAAAGGAAAAATAAAATAAAATCTACCGAGAATTAAGGGGAAGCGTTTAAGGCTGACTGTGGAGTGGGTGTTTTTCTCAAATCCCTTTAATATATTCTAAGATACTCATTACTCGATACCAAAACAAAAATATCCTGTTCAGATTAATCTGACCGACCAGTGGAAACAAAAATATACAAAAGAATCAAAACCAAATCCAAGCATGCAGCTTTCATCCAGGTATTTTTCACCATTTTCTGTTCATATCATATGGTTAGCAGATGATTTTGATCTTCTATCTCCTTTATTTTTTATCTGGATCGACATCAACTGCCCATGTACAAATTAACAGAACCATTGCTTCACCTCTCTCTACAGCCATGCATGAGAATGGTAGTATGCTACGCAGTTTAGCTTTTGTTTTAATCAAAACTCAGAGTGTGAACTTACCCTACAGAGGAGCACCCTTGCAGAAAGTTGCAAAGCTCACTTGGCAGGAAGGACATGCACAAGGGCGAGGTGAGGATTACAACATAGAAAGCAGTAAAGCACCAAGAGTGAGGAGAGGATGTGAGAATTACAACATATGCAAAATCCTAATAGCTCTCAAAGGAATCTTTCTACGCCCGAAGTTGATAGATCTGCACAACTTCACATCATCAAAGTCGACACCAGGAAAGACTTGTATATGCTCATAAACTTTGCCACAAATGCTGCTCATACAACGATAAGACACAACAAGAATTCATTACCCACAAAATGGAGGCATACAGTTTATTTGTATGATAATATGTATAATCTGAAATTACCTTCGAGATGAAATATGGCTTTCTGCCCCAATCGCATTCTATGTTCCTGTTCAACAATAAATCAACAAATATCAAGACAAATGTTCCTCACAAAAACTAATTGAAACCATCATGTTGATGTATTAGAGGAACTCACATAATATGCAGCCCAGTGACAGACGTCATGCTTCAAATCATCATCCAGTTTCTTCAGTAACTCAAAGAGAAGTCTCTGTTCAGAAATAAGGACAGTCATTAGTTAGGTGGACTAAAAATAATAGGTACGGAAAAATTATATAGGGAAACTTGTCTACCTTCAACAAAATCTCAGGAGGAATACAGTTGACAAGTAGTTCATACAACTTTCCTCGAACCTCGAACAATCTATCAAATTCAGTGGTTGTTTGATTAGAAATTAGGGGAAAAGAAGCCAAAACTTTGAAAGCTATGGACACAGATGCTCGCTTTCAATGTTATACCTTTTAGGACTCTGCTCCTTCATTATGTCAGAAGATATGGTGGAAACATAATCTTCCCACTCCAATGAAGAGATTTCTTGATTATTTTTGAAAGGGTACCTAACACATGAGCGGGATAGAAATATTAACATCCAAAAGAACAGACTTCGGTAAATGAAAGAAGACATAGTGTAGAGGACTAGAGCTTAACTGTTGAACCCGACAAGTCTCAAATGAGAGTATGGCTCTCCTTAAACTTCTATTTGATTTTTCAGCAATACGAGCAGTAAATCCAGGTGGAATTTCCAGCCCTTCTTTCTTCCCGATGAAGTCCAGAACCCTAACTATCTGTTATAATAAAGTCCACCGAAAGCAAAAAGCATCGACGGAATAGACAGTTCTGTTTAACACCATTGACACGGTCATCTATTGATTAGAATCAAGGATATGAAGAAGTAACTTTCCAACCTGTTCCTGTGCAGGAGCATTTATTCGAACATTCAGACAACGGGACCGAATAGCCTCAGTAACCTTCGAAGAACTGTTACAACAGAGAATTAGCCGGCAGGAAGTGCTATATTTCTCCATAGTTCTTCGTAGAGAATGTTGGGCCTCTCTGGAAAGCTTGTCAACCTCATTAAGCACAACCACTGATGGAAGACAAAAAAAAAACCTCCGCATGAACCGAAATCCAGGAACTCCTATTGCTTTTACTAGCTACATGCTCCCTAGTCAATGATCACTAATTCAGATGTATATGGACGACTTTGCTAAACAACATGCGAAAACCAAATTCAGTATGTTGTATATGGCTATCTCTCACTTATAGACTCGTCACTTCAATCACACAAAAAGACTACAACTACCGAGTAGGAAAAGTAAAAAAAAAAAGCAGTACCAAAAAGAACAAAACAGAAAGGATGCACAAATAACAGCAGTCCATTTACCTTTGTATGTTTTCTTTCCTTTTGAGTCAATTGGCCTATTCCTAGCCATCTCTTTGATAACATCCTGCACAACATATCTATCCTGGAATCCCGCATCACTGGGACTTAATTCCACATGGTTTGCAGTTGATAATGTAGTCAACTCGAGATCAATTGTTCTATTGCCAGCCTGAAAAACCATAGGATTGACGAACAAAAGGTAACGAACACAAATTGGAGAAAAATCAGAGGAAAAGAAATGAAAAGCTAAAAAAAAAAGGCGAAGGGGGGCATTTGCGGCCAGAGATAGAAATTGAATGACTACTTGTCCCCTAAGCCATCTGTGGCCACAACTAACATTTTCAACAGCAAAGTTGTGTTTTAATGGTTCAATCCACGTATAATGACAACCAAAGGGTCCAAACATGAGGATTCACAAAAGAAAGCCACAATGTTCAATAACAAATGAGCAAAACCAGCACAATCACCATCACTAAAACTAAGCCGTAATACAAATGCACGAGAAGAGCATAATGTTGAGATAAATAAACGATTTAAACTTACATCAACTTTCCAAGTCCTATTCTCCACCTTCACCTGCCATGAAACAACATCTAGCCATTAGCATATTAGGAGAATGATCTCTACTACTTCCTTCTCCTATTCAGCACATGCAATGATTTCAATCCCAGTAAGGGGAAGAGCAAATAATGAACAGGTTTACCTTTTCAACGCCGGGGCCGTATATTTGACGGAGCAAACCCATGATCAGAGTTTTCTTCCCAGAACCAGACGGGCCATAGAAGAGTAGATGAGGGCAATCCTGCTCGGCAACCTGAAAAGCAATTAGTGGGTAAGAATTCTGATTAACAATAAGAACATGGGACAAAGAAAAAAAAAAGTTAAAATGAACTTGGCAAGAGTAGCATGAACGAGTACAAGTTTCTTGAGGTTTTGGGCGATGTCTTCATGAACGATCACTTGCTCTAGGGTTTTGGGTCTGTACTTGTCCACCCACAACATCTTCGAATCTTTGCTTCAGCTGCAAATGATTGCACTATACTAACTTCAAAAACTTACAAACAAAACATAGCGAACAGCGAATGGAGCTCCAAACCCGAAATGGAAAGCAGGAGTCAAAGAAGGTTGAACGAATGGCGCACATGGAAGCAGAAGGGCGGGAAAGAGAAGGCGGCAAAAATGATTCTCGCCGGAGAGTTAACTTCCTCGATTGCGCGAGTAAGTGAGTGAGTGATTTGATCGGAGACGGCGAGAGACACGGGCAAGGATCGAAAGTTCGAGACAGAACGTCGGAAAGTAACCACAGAGCAAACCGAGTGAAAGAAGAACGAGAAGAACTGAGAGTAATCTCTCCCGACCACTGAAAGTTTTCTCGGGTCGGGTAAAACCGTGACGCCCGACTGCGTGGGCCCGAGTAGGCTGTCTCTCGTCTTTTTGGTGGAAAGCTGATCTAACTTTCCCGCGTTAAGTGGCGGGCTTGATTGGGCCACTGCCTTCAGTTTTAATTAATCAGTCTTTGGATGGCCCGAGCAAGAATATACCAATAACAAATGGAGGCCCATATTCCACTTTTGGCCCACGAACATATCGGTTCAGCATAAACTGGTTCCGACCGGTGCGGCTGCGCGGCAACCAAAGCGGGTAAACCAGCCTCTGCAATTTGAAGCTTGCAGTGGAAGAAGAAGAAAGGGAGACGACGACGAGATGACAGAGGAAACGAAGTTCAGCGTGATGGTGAGCATGTTCGATTGGATACAGAAGAGCAAATACTCGGCCAAGAAGCGCTCCAAGTTCCGCAAGTTCCTCGATACTTTCTGCAAGCCACGCGACTACTTCACCGCCGTTCGGTTGATTCTGCCGGGGCTCGATCGGGAGAGGGGTTCCTATGGGCTGAAGGAGTCGGTGCTGGCGAATTGCCTGATTGATGCACTTGGCATGTCCAGAGACTCTCCTGACGCTCTCCGCCTCATCAATTGGCGGAAAGGCGGTGCGAAGACTGGCGCCAATGCCGGAAATTTTGCTCTTGTTGCTACCGAGGTTCTTCAACGAAGGCAAGGGATGGCTTCCGGTGGACTGACGATTAAGGAGCTTAATGAGTTGCTTGATCGACTGGCCTGTAGCGAGAACAGGTTTGTATTTCTTAATGTGGGGCGAAAAGTGGACTGATTTTGATTTTGAAGTTAATGCAATATTGTTCGTAGGCCCGAGAAAATTTCTATTCTTGCTACTCTGATTAAGAAGACGAATGCTCAGGAGATGAAGTGGGTTATCATGATTATTCTTAAAGGTTTGTTTTATCGATTCTTCTCTTTTGCCGCTCTTTCTCTTTCCTTCCGCCACAAATCAGAAACAGGACTGAACTTTCTTTTTTTGTTTGATTATTGGTTGCAGATTTGAAATTGGGATTGAGTGAAAAGAGTATATTTCATGAATTCCATCCGGATGCAGAAGACTTGTTTAACGTCACCTGTGACTTAAAGTTGGTCTGTGAAAAGTTGAGGGACCGGCATCAAAGGCATAAGCGCCAGGTGAGTTTCCCTGAACAAGGCGCTGCCTTTCCATGAAATCAATTAGCCCGAGCTGTCACCTGGTTATGGACCAGCAAGCAATGATCTTCTACTGTCCTCATTGTGGAATTTGTGCTCTGTGCCAACAGAAAATAGCATCTTTAGTTTCCACTTATCTGCCACATAATGTTTGACAGGATATTGAAGTTGGCAAGGCTGTTCGCCCTCAGCTAGCTATGCGAGTTTCTGATGCTCAAGCTGCATGGAAAAAGGTTTCTCGTTTAGTGTAGTTATGCTCACAGTAATCATTCCTTCATTTCTATACTTGAGGTCATGCATCCTCCTGGATGCATTGGGTTCATGTTAGCATTTGCCAGCAAGAACAACAATGTAGATCTAGTATTCATCGTACTTGTTGCATCTGTCTATGTAGCTTCATGGTAAGGAAGTAGTGATGGAATGTAAATTTGACGGTGATCGGATCCAAATCCATAAGAATGGTGCTGAGGTCCACTTCTTCTCTAGGTAGGTTGTAGTGTTTTCTAAAGTATTGGATGCTTCTTGTTTTATTTTGGTAACTTGGTTTATAGTTGTATTAGTTATCTGCTCAGATCACGTCTCCTTGGTGTATGGAAGTTGTTGTTGAAGTGCTTCCAAGTGTCATTCTTTATATCAAATGTGCACTGCTATGCAGGAACTTCATTGATCACTCTGAATATGAGCACGGAATGTCAGACATCATTCAGCAATGTGTTTTGGCTGACAGGTTGGTGCCCGTTTCTCCTTATATTTTTGTGACCTTAATATATCGTGATAGACCCGTGCAAACAAAAAATGAAATGAGTCACTTGATAATGGCTGGAAACATCTTAATTCCCCCTATTAATACACAAGCTGGTGATTTTTAAAAAAATATAGAAGATAATGACTGGAAAGACCTCCAGACTCCAGTTACCTTATATGGTTCTGAAGGGAGATGTACAGTGAATCATCGTGCTTTGAATTGGCTGAGCTGAAAGGATTTGTCTGAAATATAGCACTTTCTTGGGTTTCTTTATGATAGGTGCATACTCGATGGTGAAATGTTGGTCTGGGATAGTTCTTTGAATCGATTTGCAGAGTTTGGTTCAAATCAGGAAATAGGTTAGTTGGAACTGTGATTTCAAGACTCTTGGTTTGGCTAATTGTATGTAGCATTAAAGACATCTGTTTGTCTGTTCACAGCAAAGGCTGCAAAAGATGGACTCGATAGCCATAAACAGGTGTGCCTTTTCATTTCCCTTTTTTTCTCTAGCCCTACCCTGCTCGACATGAGTTCGATTTTGATTTACTTGTTTTGCTGTTGCAGTTGTGCTGTATCCTTCACGTTGATTAAACTCAAAGCTGAGCCTCAACTACTCCGTTGTTATATTGGATAAATAGATGGGCCCACTGAAGCTTAAGCTATCTCAAGTTATTTGGTCTACCTTGACATCAGGTTAAGATGTTGCATTTGATATTCTTTATGTTGGGGATACTAGCGTGATTCACCAAAGTTTAAAGGAAAGGCATGAACTTCTCCGTTCAGCAGTAAACCCTGTCAAGGGTCGATTGGAGATCTTGGTACCTAGTGGAGGCTTGAATAGTCATTGCCCTCCTGGTAAGGAAAACCTTGTGAATTGAAGGAAAGGCGATGCATTTTTTATGGGTGTAGCCACAATTAACCCATCCTAAGAGTATATTGAATAAATTAAAATATAATGCTGAAGCACTTTCTTTAGATATGGTTTATCTTCATTTTCTGATTTCATTTGATTCATTTTAGGATATGCAGTCCATTGATCTGCCCCGTTGGGTTTGACATAATAGTTGTATAGTCGAGTCCTTTCTCTGAATTGTCTTAATTTTGCATAATAAATTCCCGCAAGAAAAACTGGCGCTTAAGTATTTTCTTGCTCATGCAGGGGAACCTTGCTGCTCGCTTATTGCTCATAGTCTGGATGATGTAGACAAGTTCTTCAAGCAAATAGTTGAGAATAGGTTAACCTTCTCTCATTCTTCTCCCTAATAAGTTTTTCCTTACTTTTATGATTTCATGCATTGTAGTGGACTCATGAGCCCCATTTTCATGTTAGAGATGAAGGGATTGTGTTGAAAGATCTTGACTCCAAATGGGAACCTGGGGACCGAAGTGGAAAGTGGTTGAAACTTAAACCCGATTACATTCGTGCTGGTTCAGATTTAGATGTTCTTATCATTGGTATATCCCTTGTCTTCAGTTCTTCATTCTATTTTCCACTGAACTATTTCTCTGAGGTTTGCTCCTCTTTACATTCTACTTCTTGGCAGGAGGGTACTATGGTTCAGGGCGACGAGGAGGAGAGGTCGATTTCATAGTCATGTTACTGATTTTTTTTTAACTCCAAGTCGTTTTTTTCATGACAAGTGAACCTGGAAAGTTGCTAGAGTTAGCAAATTCAAGCTTTCCCTCCCTTGTAAAATGCTGCAGGATAGAATTTTTATTGAGAGATTTTATTTGATCTTTGCATTTTTATTGGAAATGAGATACATAAGCCCATCAAATTGTAGGTGGCTCAATTCCTGGTGGGACTAGCAGAACGTCCGTCGGCAGATACATATCCGAGACGGTTAGTAAATTGAATATTAATTACAAAGAAAATGGCGTTACAGCTTTCCTTCCCCCCATGCTTTAAGATGCCTAAGAATGTAGCTGCTCTGTAGGTTCATCTCGTTTTGCAGAGTCGGTACTGGATTGTCTGATGACGAGCTAAATGCTGTTGTTACAAAATTGAAGCCTTACTTTAGGTAAGTTTTGGGAATTGTTGACCTTGTTAAGCACATTACACTTCAGTTTTATTGAAGCTCTTTATTGACAGTAGTCCTGTGCTTGTATCTGAATCCAGACTGTAGTTTCTTCATAAATTTCATCTGTGTACTGCAGGAAATATGATTATCCAAAAAAGGCACCTCCAAGTTTCTACCAAGTTACAAATAACTCTAAAGAGAGACCAGATGTGTGGATTGAGAGTCCTGAAAAGTACAATTTATGTATCACTTCATGTCCATGTGAAATAATGATTGTAAAGATGGCCTTCTAGTACTTGTACCTTATGATCTTTCTCTTGTCCATGATTTGCAGGTCAGTGATTCTTTCCATCACTAGTGACATTCGAACTATAAGGTCTGAGGTAAGACCTTTTACCATGGTTCTGTCAGTAAACTACCTACTTAATACCGCCACACTTTTAGTTTATTGCAATTTCACTTGGCTCTCCTTTCTAATATTCTTGTTCTGTACATGTATGTATGTGCCAATGCAATCTGATTGAGGTTTAATTTTTCTGTTCTCCAGGTATTTGCTGCACCATACAGCTTAAGATTTCCCCGGATTGACAGAGTACGGTATGACAAACCATGGCATGAATGTCTTGATGTACAGTGTAAGAACAAACAATGTGCTTACATTTTTTCTTTCCCTATTGTCTCGTGTTTTTGCTTGTGCGCTCCTTGTTTTCCTTTGAGAAATTATTGGCTAGTTCTCTCTTTGATTGGTTAGCTGGATATTCTCTCAGCTTTCATAGAACTTGTTCATTCGAGTAATGGCACCACAACAAAGGTTCAAGAAGATGGAGGCCCGCAATATGACAAACCAGCACGTGCAAAATCCTCCAAAAGGGGCGAGAAAAAGAAAGTTTCTGTTGTTCCTTCGCATCTAATTCAGACGGACGTTTCGGAGATCAAGGGGCAAAGCTTGATATTCTCAAATATGATGTTCTGTATCCTTTGGTTGGTATTCATGCTTTATTTCTTAAACTGATGTTACCTGTTATTTGTCTTAAACAACTACTGTCTAAATTTATGTCTAACCATTGTCCATGGCTGGTGTATCTGTGATTCCTTAGCATGTCTAGACTTTGTCAATGTACCCTCAACCCATACACTCGATTCTTTTCACAAAATGGTTGTGCAAAATGGCGGAACTTTCTCTATGAATCTGAACAATTCAGTTACCCACTGCATAGCAGCTGAAAGCAAAGGTCTCTCTCTCTACCCCTCTGTCTGCTGTCTCTTTGTTATGCCTAATAGACGATGAGAACTATGCAAGTGAAATTTGTTCTGCTTTGAATGGAGATGTTATCAGTTTGAAATGTAACAAAGACATATGTCTCAGGGATTAAGTATCAAGCTGCAAAGACTAATAATGATATCATTCATTATTCTTGGATCTTGGACTGCTGTGCAGCGAAGAAGCTCGTTCCTTTACAACCAAAGTTAGCTCTGCTTCAAGACATATTTTCTAAGTTTCAAGAGCTATAACCTGTATTCGTTGTTCTAATTATGTCTTTCTTTTCTGAATTGGCTATAATTTCGTAGGTACTTCCTCTACCTTTCCGACACTTCAAAGAAGAAGTTGCAGGAGGAAATCGATGAGTTCTCCGATCCGTATTTCTGGGATCTGGACCTTGCATCCATGAAACAGGTTCAAGCTCTCTTTATCAGTTCTTCTTCTCCGTATCTGCTACGCAAAATCTCGTGCAATAAATAAGAACCGAATTTCCTATGTTTCCAGATATTATCCAACATTACCGCAAGCAAATACACAAGTACGGTCGAGGGCCTCAAGAATAAGTACAGCCCAAACGAGAAGTGGATTCGATTTTGTGGTTGCTGCGTTTACTTCCACCATCCGCTTCAGTCTCTGTAATATCTCTAGGCTCATTGCTCATGGTTGATTTTCCAGTTGATACCTATAATCACTTGCGTGTTGCTTAACGTAGTTGTTCTTTTGCATCATCTATGTTCATGTCACATAGAACACCCGAGTGGGAGTCTTTAATGGAGATTACATTGAGAAGGCTGAAGCTTGATCTGTTGATGGGTGGTGGGAAGATCAGCAGTAATCTTGCTCATGCAACCCATCTGGTTGTCCTGACACCACAAGGATTGAATCTAGACTTGGTTTCCCTTATGGAGAGGTATTAATTAGACTGATTCAATATGAGCCCTTCGAGTTTAGGCTGCTGTGAGCTGCTCATGTGTTATTTTTGCCCTCTCTTTCTTCCGCAGCTTCACGGAAAAGGAGAGACACCACATACGAAACAAGAGTTTTAATGTGGTCGGATGGCAGTGGTTGGAAGAGTCCATGGAGAAAGATAAAAGGTTGGAAGAAGATGCATACAGCTTGAAGCCGGCCGGGTTTGAAGAGTGGAGTGGTGACGAATGGTAAGAGTTCAGAACACTCTGCGGCCCAATGGCTTTTATGTTTAGCTGTATTTCTCTTTCTACATTAAATCCTTGTTATATTTGCATCTTCTTTCCAGGGAACCTGGTGTAGGAATGGAAGAAGGGAACCATTTTTCAGATTATGTAGAAATCCCGACAACCAGGGAAGCTGAGGAGAGGGGTGAAACCAGTTTTGAACTACCAATATCACGAGGCAAAGGGCAGAACAAGAAGAAAAGAGGGAGGCCTGCCAGTGTAGCCAATAAAGGGAAACCACCTGTGGTTAGAAGAACAAGGGCACGCGTTATGAATAAACCCGTGAAGATAACCGAGACAAAATCAGAGGAAAGTAGCTCAGGTGAGGATGTGAACAACAAGCACTCACTTTTCCATCAAGCAGAAGATGTGGGAGAGGCAAAACCAGTTGAAGGCTTTACTGTAGATGACAGTAAACAAGGAATTGAGGAGTTGGGTGAATATCGATCTCTTGACTTTGAGATGAAATATGGAAACAAGGATGGCCATGGAGAGCCTGAGAAGCTGGAGGTCATGGTCGATCCGGTGAATGCCATGTTGATGGACATGATTCCCAGCCTGGGGCTGAAGATGGCAGAATCCAAAGAAGATCTTCCGCTCCGTGTACATGACCAAAAGGCGCCCGAATCTACTATTATTCAGCAGCCTCCCCCAGGAAAGAAAAGGAAAATGAGCTTCAAGGAGTTGGCAGAGGAGGTGCTAAAGGATTAGAGAAAGATACTGTCATTATCCTTGTATTATACATGTAGTTTTTAATGTTGTACAGCTCACTAAACTAGTAAAAACTTGTTGCCAGCAGTTGATGATTCTGAATGATGACTTTTGGCTTATCAATGACCTTTTTTATCAACTGGCCAACTACATCCATTTACTGGGTCATTCGTAGTCATCCTCTATCAAAATCATTAACAGTACAATCATTACAGCAACATATGGGAAAAGCAGTCACTGATCATAGTTCACAGCTAGAAGTAATGCACATTCTTAGAGAAGTGAAAAGAACAAACCGAATGAAGAGGAAAATAAGCCTTTGTCCCTTCCCTTCCATACAAGGAGGTAAAAGAGGGAGGAGAAGCCCCAAGAACAAGAATCACCACGCGTATTTGGCTTGGGTTTGAGCTTTGGTGAGGAATGTATGAAAAGAACAAACGGAATGAAGATGAAAAGAAGCCTTTCTCCTTCCCTTCCATACAAGGTGGCAAAAGTGGGAGGAGAAGCCCCAAGAATCACCACCCGTATTTGGCTTGGGTTTGAGCTTTAGTGAGGAAGCCCTTTGAGCGACGCTCTTGCAATTCCATCTCCTTCTGCCTCATGTCGAGGTATAGAGTACCGATCTGATGCTTCCTCTTGTGAAGTTTTGAAGGCTTACCCTTGGCAGTAGAAACAGGCTACAAACAGGACATTCTATATTAGAGAAAGACATCAAATTGCCAGATTGCTCAACAAGTAATAGTAAAACAAATTCCCCTACAGAAGCATTCAGCTTTTCACACAACCCCCCACTTTCTACACTCTAAACCCGCAAACGATCTAAAGCTTGAAGAAGAAAGCTTGAAACTTTCACTTCTATACTCGTCGTGTTATCAAATTCTAATAATTTGTTGAACAAGAAATAGTAACACAAACTTCGCTCTGCATAATCATTCAGTTCTCCCTCCGTCCCCCTTTCTACAGTCTAAATCACCAAACCATCAAAGCTTGTAGAAGAAAGCTTGAACCTTTTCAGCGTCTATGTTCATAGTGTTATCAAGTTCTAATCATTTGTTGAACCCCTGCATGAGCATCCAGTTTCCCGACCGATGCCTTTCTACCGTCTAACCATCTAAAGCTTGTAGAAGAAGTTTGAAACTTCTCAATCTCCATGTTTATCGTGCTATCAAGTTCTAATCATTTGTTGGATTTACATGAAAGCAATTCAATCCGGACTTAAATCTCCATAACCCTGCTCTAGAACAAGTGCCTAAACTCCAATCCTAAGCAATTCACATTCATAACACCACATAGCTACAACCCAGCCAATTCTACAAACTGGAGGGTAAATGAACAAAAGACGGTGCTTGATGAGCTTATTATATAGCGTACCTGGTATGATGGCCCAAAGGCAATTCCGGTCGACTTAACTTGATCCTGCCTAGGCCTGTTCTTGGTCAACTCCTCCTGCTTCACTTCGATTATCTCAATTGGCTTCTCATTCCTTCCCCTCTTCCCCCGCATAAACCTCCCCGCACTATCATCTACGACCACCGCTGCCGTCGAAGACCCTTCAGCCCAACAATTCCCGTAGTCAGCAGCGTAATACTCCCCGTAGGTTCCATCAGTACTACCACCACCAACCGTCTGCTCCGTTCTAGCAGCGTAGCTGCTCCCATCGTAACTTTGATTATCGGAATAACCATAACTGGCTGGATGTTCTACATTCTGATCGAAGACCGATTGACTAGCGGCGTCGGGTACAGAATCTTCGGGGATTGAGGGCGGAGCGTCGGTCTGTAGGATGGATCTGCGGCCAGAACCAGAGGAAGGGAGGGCGCCCAAGGCGGAGGAGCTTCTTGGAGCGGGAATGCTGGAGAGGAACGATTTTACAGAAGAAGAATCGACGGCGGTTGATTTGCTTGGGCGAGCTGGCCGTTCGTCTTCATCGTCGTCTTCGTCGTCGGGGTAGGTGGGAAGGGGAGGGGGTTTGAATTGGACGATTCGCTTGGGATTGCGGTTGGAGAGGGGTTGGGGAGCGGCAGAATTTTGGGATATGGGGGGAGGAAGCGAAGAAGAGAAGATTGACGGCGACGGCGAAGAAGAAGAGGAGGATTTAGGGCGCGGAAGGACGGAAAAAAGAGGGAGAGAAGGTCGCGCTGGAGGTAAGGACTGGGAAGAGGTAGAATAGCTGGATGATTGCCTTTCATGGCGGACGGCTTCTTGCTGTTGGGGTTCGTCTTCGTCGGAAGATCCGTAGCTAGCTACCAGAGAATCCATTGTCGAGAGCTCGGCTGCTGCAATTCTTCGCTCGCTCTGCTTTCGTTTCTTTTTGCCGGCGCCTTCGTCGGTTCCTGGCACCTTTATGACTCCGCTTGCTGCCTGTAGTGATTTGGGCTGAACGGTAAGTCGTTTTAGGCTTTTCTCATCATTTCCCTGCCCTTCCCTTCCCTTCTGGTTAATTGAAACGTGGGCCATTATCTATAACACATACTTGGGCTTGGCTCGCAAGGTTCCAAAATCCGGATAATGGTTAGTGCTACTGTGGACAAAATGCCCAATGTGTAGTCAAAGTGGTCGGACAGGTGGCAACATCAGTACATCACACTTTTTGGTACACAGCGAATTATGTGTTCTTAATTTTTAAATTGAACAATCAAGGGGCCTAGAAGCAAGCAAACACAATCAAACATAACACCTCCCAGTTGACCATTTGTTGATTTGATTGCAATCAGGCTATCACATCCATAATTTGTTTTAACCATTAACCAACTTAGATCATATTTCAAGTTCAATGTTAATTGATATTTGTTCTACTATTGTATATAGTCCACATAATTAGCATAATTGAGAAGGCCTTATTAAGTGCTCGCCTAGCCACTAGGCAAGCCGAAAAATACATTGCCCGGACATTTTAACTGTGCAAAAGATATGTGAAATGATTCAACGATGTCAGGCAACATCTAGGCATAAAAAAGAAGCGTTTAGCTTGAATGGAGTGATACTAATGTGGAGATGGCCAAACTGTGAATAACAAAATTAAACTCATATGAAGAAGGACAAACGACATTGTCACATAAAGATTCAACTCCCCGCTCCTCTCTCTTTTCGAGCTGCTAGCGCCCTGTTATAAACAACACGACAAAATATTTGAACCATGTTTGTACGAGGATGGAGGAGACATTGTGCCATCGAGTTTTTTGGATCAATAAACATCTTGGACACGTAGAAGTGCAAAAGTGAGTGAGCTTCATAATGATAATTCGAGTTTGAAGAGGAGGAAGATGAGAATGATATTGCTTTTGAGTATAATGAAGATTAAGTGGTGGATAGATGGACCTAGTTGAACGATGAATGAACTTTGATAATGGGTTTATGATAGTTTGTGTTTTTTTACTTTAGCTTGTGATTCTAGTAAGTGGCGATTAAGGGTGTGCAACGGCATGGTTCGTACCGGATCACATCGGAACAAATCGACAATTGAATTAAAAAAAATGATGGACCGAACTTATATTTGTACCAGATAAAATTGGACCAAATGGATTGAATGTAATAATAGTCTGGTCCTTGATCCTAATATGTCTTTTATTAATTAATCGCGGTTCTCATGAGTTCGGTTCGGTTCATACCAAACTATTGCACACTACTAATGGTGACATGTGTTTCCTTAGTGTGAACAGTTAACTAAAGTACATATTAACACGAAAGTGAGGTAAAGTTGTTATTTCTATTTAAACCTAATAGGTTCCATTCCCACAACTAGGGAATAATAAGCATTGCTCGAACCAATGTTGTCAGAACCGAACCGGAGCATGACCCGGTAATGCGAACGGCTCGCACTTTAGTGGTCCAACCGGCATTAGACCGTTTAAAAACCGTTAGAGAACCGATACCTAATAAACGTTATCAGTATAAATAGTGGACATTTCTTAATCAGAGCTCATCTCTTTCCTTCGAAATTGTGATTTGAGAGCACGACTTTTTTATTTTATTTCAATTTTTAATTTTATGTAATTTTTTTAATTAAATTTAACGGCTGAATGGCAAAAACCAGACAAGCGGCTCGAGCGGTTATTTGCCTCGGCCGCTCGTCAACCGCTACATAAAACCGGAGTGACTTTTAGACTATTTCGAACCAATTTTGTGACTGGGTGGCGGTTTCACCGGTCGGGCCGAACGGCTCGGCTCGACTTTAATAACACTGGCTCGAACACCCATCTCGTTAGTCTAATGTCTTTTTAAAACCGCCTTACGTACGCCTAACACATTTAGGAAAGTGCATTCCTTTTTGTAGGTCCATAAACCAGCTAGTGTAGCAGCCAGCCAGCCACCAACTTTCCCCTTAACTAAAGCATTGTCTATTTTGGACTTAGACTTGTATAATTATGTGTTCAAAGAAAAGAAATGTTAGTGGTCTTCCAATCACCGATCTCAACCTAGCTCGTTGTCAATTTGATATGCAATTATAATTTATTTATTTGAGGCAAAACGGGAAATATAATATTCTTGAATTTTAGAGCTAAAATGGCCAACTGAAATCATCGAATTGAAATTGATACTATTATAGTACCGACATCAACCACATTTTACGATCAAGTCCCTTTCTGCCAAAAATGGACCCGCAGAAATCCGTCCAAATTGGTTCTGGATGACTTAATAGTCGTTGAAGAGTAAACTCAGGCCGAATCCACACTCTTATCCTTCAAAATCCAAGGAAAATGGCCCTTCGAAAAAAATTGCTCAAATAATTACGAAAATGTCATCCCAAAATATATTGCCCCAATTCGGTGCTTAATTGACTTAATCATCGGCGCAGAATAGGATCAATAGACTTTATTATCGGTGGAGAAGCCTCGAGTATTATCGGTGGATCAATAGACTTTATTCAGAACTGTTGTCCACTTCTGCCACGGCAACTGAACCTTGTTTCTTCTGTTGCCCTCTTCTCTTGGGACAGTTGTACTTCCAATGTCCCACTTCCTTACAGTTGTGACAAGCATCACCTGGCTGTGGACCGGGACCCTTGGAATTCTTGCTCGAATTCCCTTTACCAGATTTCTTCTTTCCTTTCCACCTGTAACAGCCAAACCTGATGCCTCACCACCTGTACCAGAACCAGACGCCTTATGCCTTATCTCTCTCATATGAAGAGCAGACCTGACATCCTCCAACGACACGCTTTCTTTACCAGCAATAAAAATCAACGAAATTCTCATATGAACTCGGCAAAGAAACCAGCAGGATTAGGGCAGCATCCTCGTCTTCAACTTGAACCTCTATATTACGCAGATCCAGCAAAATAGAGTTAAGTTGTTCGAGATGTTCCCTCAAAGGCGTACCTTCTTGCATCCTCAAGCTGAACAACCGTTGCTTGAGATGCAGCTTGTTGGTTAGAGACTTCGTATTATACAGACTCTCCAGTTTCAACCACAAGCCCGCGGCAGTCTTCTCAGCAGCGACTTCAATGATGACGTCATCAGACAACGATAGCATGATGGTCGAGTGGGCCTTCTCCTCCAGGGTATTCCACTCATCGTCATCGACCGCTGCCTTCTTCTGTTTCGCAGACAGCGGCCCCCACAGCCCTTGCTGTTTTAATAAAGCCTGCATCTTGATCTGCCATATAGCGAAGCTGTTCTTCCCCGTGAACTTTTCGATCTTCATGTTCACCGACGTCATTCTTCTGAATCGAAAACCCTAGCCTGATTTCCAGCCGTGGCTCTGATACCACTTGTTAAAAACGTGCTGCTACGGATTGGGAAATCGCCAGAATCGACAAAGCAAGAATACGAAAGCGAGAATCGAAAGAACACAGACACACGATATACGTGGTTCACTAACACGATGTGTGTTAGCTAGTCCACGGGCGAGAGAGAGCCAGTTTCACTATATCGAGGAGATTACAGATTACAGAGGAGTATGAGAAGTATTTATAGTACTTGTCCATGTGGGTCTAAACCTAATCCAATCTAGCAAAGGAAATGGTTACAGACCAGGCCCAGAACCCGAACCCAAATAATAGCGAGACCCCCAATTACCAGTCGTAGCGGCTGATAGTCCGATTCAAGTCACATCAACAGGATCAATGGACTTCATTATCGGTGGAGAATAGCCTCGGCATGATTCCGTGATCTGTAGGCACAGAATCGAAAGAAAATGGCATTTGGGGAAAATCGTCTGAAATCTGTGATGGTACCCCTTGGAATATGCCAAAAATTGACCCGGAACAAATCCCCCCAAAACGGTGATTAATGGACTCAATCATCGTTGAAGAATAGCCTCAGGGCGAACACGTGATCTGTAGCCTTCAATATACAAAGAAAATGGCCTTCTGTCGCCCAAAAAATTACGAAAATGGAATCGTAAAATAAATTGGCTCAAAATCAGTGCATAAGGGACTTATCATCCGTGGAGAATAGGATCAATAGAATTCATTATCGGTGGAGAACTGCCTCGGCCTAATTCCGTGATCTGTAGCCTCAGAATCAAAAGAAAATGGCATTTGGGAAAAATCATCTAAAATCTGTGATGGTACACCTTGGAATATGCCAATAATTGATCCGGAATAAATCCCCCCCAAATCGTTGATTAATGGACTCAATCATCGTTGAAGAATAGCCTCAGGCTGAAGACGTGATCTGTAGCCTTCAATATACAAAGAAAATGGCCTTCCGTCGCCCAAAAATTATGAAAAATGCCATCTGAAAATAAATTGGCTTAAATTGGTGCTTGACGGACTTATCATCCGTGGAGAATAGGATCAATAGACTTCATTATCGGTGGAGAATATCCTCGGCCTGATCTGTGATTTATAGCATCCAGAATCGAAAGAAAATGGTATTTCTATAAAAACGCTCGAAATCTGTGATGGTACCCCTTTGGAATCTCCAAAAAATTGACTCGGAATAAATCCCCCTAAATCGTTGCTTAATGGACTCAATCATCTCTGAAGAATAGCCTCAGGCCGAATTCGTAATCTGTAGCATTCAATATCCAAAGAAAATGGCCTTTCGTCGCCCCAAAAATTATGAAAAATGCCATCCGAAAAGAAATTGGCTCAAATTGTCCTTGAGGAACTTATCATCCGTGGAGAATAGGATCAATGGACTTCAATATCGGTGGAGAATAGCCTCGGCCTGATTCCGTAATCTGTAGCCTCCAGAATCGAAAGAAAATGGTATTTCTATAAAAACGCCCGAAATTTGTGATGGTACCCCTTTGGAATCTCGAAAAAATTGACTCGGAATAAATCCCCCTATATCGTTGCTTAATGGACTCAATCATCTCTGAAGAATAGCCTCAGGCCGAATTCGTAATCTGTAGCATTCAATATCCAAAGGAAATGGCCTTTCGTCGCCCCAAAAATTACGAAAAAAGCCATCCGAAAATAAATTGGCTCAAA